ACCCCTTAAACTCTGAATTTCAATTACCGTAGGAACATTAAACAATGAAAAAAGGCATAATTTTGTCTAATTAAGTCTCGGTTCTTCCGTAGCCTTCACCTGTTGTTCGTTACTATTTTGTTAAAGAAGTTGGGAAAAACTTGAATAAAAAAAAAATCAAGATATTCTATATGTGAAGCATTAAAATTGGGAAAGCATATTCCCAATTAGTAATTTATATTTCATATATTTTCTGAAATAGTCTATCAAATGCAAAAATTTTTGGTAAGTCAACCTCTTATTTATTGTCCACAATTCATCTTCCATATTTCCAGAACCCACAAACATCTGGACGAAATTGAAGTAAACGAAAAACTAAATGGGCAGGATTTTGAAATTTCAGAGACAAAAATGAATTTTCTTAAAAATGGTTAAGAACTACAAGGATAATCAACCTATTCACCAGTTTTACAAGTAATTATACACCCGCATACTGTCTTTCCATATTCACTACAAGAAATATATTTTTCAGTGACAAAAATTTATGTGACAACAAAAATCTTGTCACAGATAACCTAATTCAGTGACGACATTAGGTGTCATCACAGATGAGTACAGCACAAGTATAATCAGTGACAACATTGGAAGTTGTCATTCTCAACTCGTCACGAAATAGTTGGCGCACATCTCATTTGATGCCGCGGGAAATGAATTTATGACAACTCAAGTAAAGTCGTCACAAACGCTCTCTGTACAGTGACAACATAACTTGTTGTCATTGAAAGTCTACCCGATTCCAATTTTGTGACAACTTTTTGCGTCACTGTATACTACAGTATTTTCATCAACTTTCACTAATTCTACTATGACACCCTAATTTTATTTTTTTAGCCCCCAATTCTTTTATATTAGCAAAAGCACCGAAGATATGACACCCTAATTTTATAATTTAGCCCCTATTCATTACGTATTAGCAAAATGCAAATGATATAATAACAAACTATTTTTAGATATTTGTAATTTTTGCTAAGTTGACATAATAGACATGTCTGAGCATAAAAATGTTTTCACGAATTGTTTATTATTCCTTATAACAACCCCCAAAAATCAATAACTGAAATAATTTGAAAAAGTGTAATTGAATATAATTTGCAGTCTAATGTTAGTACTGTGAAAGATTAGTATAACGTGTAATACATCATAAGTAATAATTATTTTCATATGGAATGGGTATATACGAAATTAAAATTATTCAGTAAAATATCTGTCGTGCAATAAGATTGAGAGCTGTAACACATTTAACAGAATATTTGATTACATGTTTCTTTTAATTTATTATAAAAACTAAGTAATAGACAAAGAGTAAGATAAGCATGAGTAAGAAGTGTTATACTGTATATAAGCAATTCTATAGTATTATCATCAAATTTCACTAATTCTACTATGGCACCCTAATTTTATTATTTAGCCCCCAATTCTTTTATATGAGCAAAAGCACTGAAGATATGACACCCTAATTTTATAATTTAGCCCCTATTCATTACGTATTAGCAAAATGCAAATGATATAATAACAAACTATTTTTAAATATTTGTAATTTTTGCTAAGTTGACATAATAGACATGTCTGAGCATAAAAATGTTTTCACGAATTGTTTATTATTCCTTATAACAACCCCCAAAAATCAATAACTGAAATAATTTGAAAAAGTGTAATTGAATATAATTTGTAGTCTAATGTTAGCACTGTGAAAGATTAGTATAACGTGTAATACATCATAAGTAATAATTATTTTCATATGGAATGGGTATATACGAAATTAAAATTATTCAGTAAAATATCTGTCGTGCAATAAGATTGAGAGTTGTAACACATTTAACAGAATATTTAATTACATGTTTCTTTTAATTTATTATAAAAACTAAGTAATAGACAAAGAGTAAGATAAGCATGAGTAAGAAGTGCTATACTGTATATAAGCAATTCTATAGTATTTTCATCAAATTTCACTAATTCTACTATGGCACCCTAATTTTATTATTTAGCCCCCAATTCTTTTATATGAGCAAAAGCACCGAAGATATGACACCCTAATTTTATAATTTAGCCCCTATTCATTATGTATTAGCAAAATGCAAATGATATAATAACAAACTATTTTTAGATATTTGTAATTTTTGTTAAGTTGACATAATAGACATGTCTGAGCATAAAAATGTTTTCACGAATTGTTTATTATTCCTTATAACAACCCCCAAAAATCAATAACTGAAATAATTTGAAAAAGTGTAATTGAATATAATTTGTAGTCTAATGTTAGCACTGTGAAAGATTAGTATAACGTGTAATACATCATAAGTAATAATTATTTTCATATGGAATGGGTATATACGAAATTAAAATTATTCAGTAAAATATCTGTTGTGCAATAAGATTGAGAGTTGCCACACATTTAACAGAATATTTGATTACATGTTTCTTTTAATTTATTATAAAAACTAAGTAATAGACAAAGAGTAGTATAAGCATGAGTAAGAAGTGCTATACTGTATATAAGCGATTCTATGCAGGTTAAATTTTTGAAACATGTTTTATTGTGTAAGTTTTATTGTAAGGTAATTGCTTAAATAATTTGTATATTGAGTTGTCCAAACCCAAAAAGATGTATATAGACACAAACAAGCACACATATATATACATGCACAAAAAAGAAACCAATATCAAATAATTTATTTGATATTTATAGATGAGATTAAGGAAAAAAAAAGAGATTAAGTATGAAAAAAGAAACCTGAAAAAAAAATTTGGCTAAAAACAAAAGAAAAAAGATGTATGAAGCTAAAGGCGTGAATCCTGGAATCTCAAAGACGTGCTTAGATGCCAAAAAAAAAGAGCGCCAGTCTGAAATCTGAAAGAGGCGCGAGGCGGGTGGCTGAAATCTCTACAAAACGACGTCGTTTTGGTTGTTCACACACAAACAAAAGTCTCGCCGCTTCTCTCTTCCAACACTTAGACAAATTTCATTCTCAGTCTTTCCTTCCTATGGTGAACTAACCCTTCCTTCCCGTAGATTCGAAATACCGCTCGCCACCGTTAGCCGCTGAAGTCCGCCGCTATCCACCACCATCAGCCGCTGAAGTCCAAGCTATCCAGCACCATAATTTATTCTTCAGCATTTCCTTCACCACTGACGATAGCCCTTTCTCCCCTCTATTGACCCGCAACCACGTCGAGCTCTTTAGCACCAGCTCAGGTGAAGGAAAATAGAGGAGGGCTTTGGCAGTAGAACAAAACAGAGGGAAAAGAACAAAACAAGAAAAAAAGAATAAAATGGAGGAGAAAAAAAGGGCAGCGCACAAGTGAGCAAGAAAAGCTGAGGGGGAAGCCTGAGAAAGAGCGGCTAGGTTTTAGAGGAGAAAAAGAGAAACAGAAGAGCAGAGAAGCAGCTAGGGTTCTTGGAAGGGAGGCCTTGAGCGTGAAAAGAAAAAAAACAGAGTGAAGGAAGAGTGGCGGCTGACGGGAAGATCAGGAGAGAAAGACGCGGCAACGGACAGAGGAGGAAGAACCAGGTCACCACCAGTCTGCGTCCGCTCTGCTGCTGTCTGCCATCGCCAACACCGCGCACAACCTCCTGGGCTGCTGCCGTTCTCTATAACACTAGATGAAGGCTCTCGGACGAAGTCAGACCTAGTCATCTTCCAATTCCAACTCACCGTCTTCGGCTTCGTCATAATCGCCGTCGCCACCGCTCAAGTAAGAGCACTATAAGTCGCCCCTTTTTCTTTGAATTTCAGTTCCTTCCCAAGTCCTCTAAGCATGTCTGCCATGGCTTCGTTTATTGCAATTGCCCCGTTGATTGTTCAAATTTTAGCATGCGCATGTTATATCATGATTGAATTTGAAATCCCTTGTACTTCTGATGATTTTGGGGCCAACCGTGGCTTCATTTGAGCAAAGAATTGCTGGAATTTTTCATGTTCGTTTACTGTTTGTTGAAATGCCCAAGTGGTCTAACAGCAGGCCGTAACAGGGAATTCGTTCAATGCTCATTGCTGCATTTTATCTTTCCCTATCCCTGTCTCAAGTTTTGGTTGATGAACTTGTAAATCTGATTAGCATATCAGGACTGCCTCTGAATTGATTAGCTTTCTTTCTAATAACTACACATTGTGAGATTTTTTTTTTCCCCGAAGGGTATGACATGCTCTGCCCTACAAAATGGGAGAAAGTATCAACTTTAAGGCCACTTTTGAAGCGAACATATATATAGTTGTAATAATTTCAAGCCGGTTGCTTGCAGTTTAACATGATCACGGTATAGATTTTTGGCAACCCAAACGCCAGATTTCAAGTCGAACCACTCCACAGGCGGTTTGGGCCGGCCACAAAAGGATTATTTTAAAGTTGGGCAGTCGTAGTGAAGGGTGCATACACTTTTCAGCCAACTCATTAGTTCTGCTGCTCAATCAGTCAACCTCCAAAGACTGGCTAACTTCATTTTAAACTGTAGATAGGGTAGGTCAGTTTAAGGGTGAAAAAAAAAAACTGAATTTAGATACTTATAATACTACTGTACTCTAACATGGCCAGATTGCTGAGTTCATTACCAATTAATTCACAGTCACTACTGAGTTCAAACAGGTGCCAAAACTAGAATGTCATCCCAGGGCATTCATTCAATGCTCATTGCTGCATTTTATCTTTCCCTATCCCTGTCTCAAGTTTACGCATTTGAGTCTGGTTGATGAACTTGTAAATCTGATTAGCATATCAGGACTGCAGGCTGAGTTTTGTGATGTTTCTGCTTCTTGGTTTTGTCTCATTGCCTGGTTTGATATTCAATTTGATAGGGAATCCGCAATTGAAAATGAAAATTGCAGCTAGTGTTGTCGAAACCTTCAGTTTGCCGAAATCTTCTTCCATTTCTTTTGCATGAAAGTCTCATAAAAAACTTGTATTCTCTTTAGTTTGATATTACAAAAGTATTTTGTACTAAAAGCTGATGTGTCTATATCTAGGACATGGATAAAACTTGGATGAAGATTAGCAATAGGAAGGACAAGGCTTATGAACTCGGAGTCAAAAATTTCCTCAAGTTTGCATATTCTCAAAAAGTTGAAAATCAGAAAATCCCATGCCCATGTACACAATGCAATAATTTTTGTAACCAAACAAAAACAGTTGTGGAGGATCACTTATTGACTCAAGGCATTCGTAAAAGCTACACAAGATGGATACACCATGGGGAACAATTTCGACACCAAAATTGTGGGGATGGTACTAAACATGGGGATGGAGAGGAGGATAGTGATACTGAAGATTTAAATGACATGTTGCACGACATTGGGACAGCACAATGGGGGGACAATTGGGCTGGTAGGGAAGAATCAACGGATGATAGTCTAAATGCGAATCATAGTGACACAAATAAATTTCTTAAATTGTTAGAAGATGCAAAAAAGGAGCTGTATCCAGGGAATCATTTTTACTCAAAGTTATCCTTTGTAGTCACTTTGCTCCATTTGAAAACAATGAGCGGGTGGACCATAAAGTCCTTCAATGCATTGCTGGAAATTTTTAGCCATGCACTACCTCCTGAAGCCACAGTTCCCAAGTCTTTTGCTGATGCTAAGAAGCTCATTCGAGACTTAGGTTTTAAATCTGAAAAAATCCATGCTTGTGTCAATGATTGTGTTCTCTTCCGCAAGGAAAATGAAAATTTTGACACTTGTCCAAATCTAAATTGTAAAGAACCTCGCTACAAGATGGCAGGTTCAAGAGTTCCACGCAAAGTTTTGCGTTACTTTCCTTTGAAGCCTAGGCTGCAACGATTATATACCCACAAAGAAATAGTTTCAGATATGAGATGGCATAAAGAAAAGTGTGTGCATGATGATAACATCATGCGGCATCCAGCAGACAGTGAAGCATGGAAACACTTTGATAGGTTGCATCCGGACTTCGCCGTTGATCCTAGAAATGTGAGGTTAGGTCTTGCAACTGATGGTTTCAATTCTTTTGGGACCATGAGTAGTGCTTATAGCATCTGGCCTATTTATCTAGTGCCATACAATCTGCCCCCTTGGAAGTGTATGAGAGATCCTTTCTTTTTCCTATCAATGCTAATTCCTGGGCCTAAATCCCCGGGAAATGAGATTGATGTTTACATGGAGCCTCTAATAGATGAACTGAATGAAATGTGGCTTGGTGTTGAAACATATGATGCATATAGTGGCAAGAAATTTGACCTCCGGACAGCTTTACTATGGACTATAAATGATTTTCCAGCTTATGCAATGCTGTCCGGATGGAGTACGAAAGGGTATCAAGCATGTCCTATTTGCATGGTTGAGACAACTTGCGTACATTTACCACACCGAAAAAAGTTGTGTTACACAGGTCATCGCCGCTTCTTACCCATTGACCATTCTTGGCGGCGAGAAAAAAAATCTTTCGATGGCAATGTGGACTTTAGGAATCCTGTTGCACCTTTATCTGGAAATGAAATTTTGGATCAGGTACAAAATATGGAGGTAAATTTTGGGAAGACCAAGGCGCAATCCAATGCAAAGAAACGCAAGCGTTCTGAGAGTGGTTTGAACTGGACAAAGAAAAGTTGTTTCTTTGAGTTACCATATTGGGTAGACCTCCTTCTTAGGCATAATTTGGATTTAATGCATGTGTCAAAAAATGTCTCAGAGGCTGTCATTGCCACAATTATGGATATTGAAAACAAAACCAAAGACCACTGGTTGTGTCGTCAAGATTTGAAGGATTTGGGTTTGAAAAAAGAGCTACATTTGATTCCAAATGGCGACTCTTATATCATGCTATATGCCTGTTACAGCCTAACCAAGGAGGAGAAAAAAAAAGTATGTGAGTTCTTGAATTCTGTCAAATATCCAGATGGATTTGCCTCAAACATTTGCCGATGTATAAAGAATAGCCAGTTTCAAATTTCTGGAATGAAAAGTCATGACTTCCACATTTTTATACAAAGGCTACTCCCACTTGCAATCCGTGGAAGTTTAACAAAAGAAGTTCGGCAAGTGCTATTCGAGTTAAGCGAATTCTTCAAAAAATTATGTGCTAGAACATTACATAGAGAGGTTCTGGAGGAGTTAGGCCAAAAAATTGCAGTCATCTTATGTAAATTAGAGAGGTTGTTCCCTCCAGCTTTCTTCGATATAATGATGCACTTGATGGTTCACTTGCCTGCTGAAGCTATCCTTGGCGGTCCAGCTCAATAGCGTTGGATGTTCCCATTTGAGAGGTAGAGAGTTGAACATATAGCCTTGTAAGTTTTTTTTTTATTAAAGACCACTGCAATCTTCTAATTTCTTTTATTTTCCTTTGAGAAAGACATATGGCAGTGCTGAAAAGTTATGTTGGGAATAAGGCCCGGCCAGAGGGATGCATTGCTGAGCGGTACATAGATAAAGAATGCTTGACATTCTGCTCTATGTACCTAGACAATATCGATACGATATTCAACAAGCCTGAACGAAACAATGATAGGGGATATAATACTGGTGAATTGTCCATTTTTTCATGCCCTGGTCGTCCATTTGGAGGTCCCAAAAGGGGCAATTTCCTTGACTCAGAGCTGGAAAAAATTCATACATTTATATTGAACAATTGTGATGAGCTTGAGGACTATATAAAGTAAGCTTTTAATGTTAATTAAAGCTTGTACCTTTGTTCTATATTTTGATATGTTCAAAGGCAAATTTATACAAGGTGATTGTTTTTGTCTATAGTACGCATAAAATGGAGTTGGAGGCAGAGAGTGCTGAAAATGTGGACCAAAGGCACGATAGAGAATTTGCAAAATGGGTTAAACAACGTGTATGTTTGCAGTGTCATTTGGACAGCCTACTTTTTTTTATCTCTAATACAATAAATTACTGATTTAGGTGAAATTGTCCTTACTAGGTTATGTATGGCAGCGAGGCTTCCAATGGTGAGCTTAGAGCATTAGCATTTGGGCTAGACAACCGAGTTTGCATGTATACGGGTTGCATGGTTAATGGGTATAGGTTTCACACGAAAAATCGGGAAAGGCAAAAAAAGACTCAAAACAGTGGTATTGTAGTTAGAGGTGAGCATGGTAACAAAATGATCGATTTTTATGGTGTGATACAACAAATTATTGAAGTAAGATACTGGCTCGGGAAAAAAAAGGTTATAGTATTCAAGTGTGACTGGTGGAAGACCGATGATAGTGCTGGGATGCAAGTGGACAAAGAATGGGGTATCACAAGTGTCAATTCGTCTAGAAAATGGTATGAAGACCAATCATATGTCCTCCCTCAACATGTCCAACAAGTCTTTTATCTTTAAGACTTGAAACTAGGCAAAAACTGGTTTGTCGTCGAGAGGTTCAGTCCAAGGCACTTGTATGATGTTCCTGAAGATTTAGAAAAAGAACCAATGGTTGAGGAAATATATCAAGAAGAAGCAACTGGGGATTTCACTATTATAATAGACCTCGACAATCCACCATTACTTTCAAGAGAAGACAATGAGATACCGAAGGCTGTACCTTCATCCATTGTACATGCTGAGAAGTCAACAAATAGCACAAATGGCACCTTTGAAGACTTCATTAATGATGATGATGAAGTGAATGAACATGAGTCTAACAATGAGGAAGACGAAGAGGAGATTCTTAGTGATAATGACATCGATTCGGAATAGGTGAAATTGATGAGGACTACATGACACTAAATTTAATCTCTTTAACTCCGGCTAACTAGTTTTTATTCCTAAATTATACTATGCTGTAACACTAACTTCTTGTTACTTTTAGATGGCTGGACCAGGAAAGCGAGGCCAAATGCTGCAGAGAAAAGCTCAAGGTGCACAACAGCCTGCAATACCTAATTCAGTTGGAAGCAATCAACCAAGAAGTGCATCCAAGAGTGTATCCTCAGAGGATGCAATATATGTCACTCCAACTTCTTCACCTAGAGAAAGTGCTAGTGAGAGTAGGATGATACACCCTCAGACATCTGAGTCTCGTGCATCCGGAGAAAATGAGACAAATCCAGTTTTGGATGAGCAAGAAAATGGTAAGTTAGACTTCATTTTCACGGCTGAAATTAAAAATCAAGTTTCTATTTCATGACTGACTTTGTTAATGTGGTCAAAGTAATGTATGGACTGATATTTGTTAATAGCTATGCTGCTGTCAGCAAGAAGAAGAGGACGTACACGAAATCTATCATTATCAAAAAAAAAGGGAGGCTAATGAGACGCTCACCATTGAAATTGATGATTGTATTCGGCGGATTGTTGGGAAGGATTCTCAATACTTCATCATAGAAGGGGGTTGTGTTGTTAGGAAGGCTGCTAGGCTTAATGTTCCAAAGTGGTCTCATCTCAATCCCGGTGACCGAGAAGGCATATACAGCACGGTTACGGTATTTGTTGTCCTGCTAATACTCTAATTTCATCCAGAAAGTATGAGAGATTTTACTGCTTTAGATTTGCTTGGTTTTAAGTAGATTGCACTGTTATTGTAGGTTGAATTTCGATTTCCAGAGCACATCATCTCAAAAACTGCTATTAATAGGCAGTTAAACACACAATATCGAAACCATCGATATCGGCTTCACAAGTATTTCCAGAGTTTTGAATCAAGGCAAGAAGCATTGAGGCAAGTTCCTGAAGGTGTGAGTGAAGAAGATTGGAAGTGGCTGGTCAGCTACTTTGAAAATGATGAATTTAAGGTTAGCTTGTCAAAATAACCTATCCTTTTATTAAATTTCAGATTTCACTTCACAAATTTGCTAATCTTTGTCAGTTAAAATTTTCACTAATTTGTGGCAGAAAATTAGTGAACGTAACAAGCAAAATCGTGTCAAAAATGACTGCTACACTACTGTTGGCACAAAATCGCTTGCAAGAGTTGTTGAGGAAAAGGTAATCTGAAACCCAGCCAACAGTTGTACATGTACATCCTTTTTGTCATATGACTGAAAATGAAAAAATTGAAAATTTGGACAGAAAAGGAAAGAAGATGTCGAGCTTTCAGAGATAGACATGTTTGAGTTAAGTCGAAAGTCAAAGAAGTAATGGGGGCTGGTAAATGACAAAGCAAAAGAGACCTTGGTGAGCTGTTTCACTTGGATAATGGATTTTTAAATTATTGACATCCATTCCAGCTACATAATGATCATATTTTTTACTTGCCTAGGACAAAATGAGGGAATTGCAGGCTACAACTTCAATGACTAGCAAGGAAATATGCGAGCAAGAACTTGGTTACGTACCTGGACACATCCGCGGTCGTAGTGCAACCAAGAAGCAAGCTGCTGAGGTAGAACGCTGGAGGCATGAGATTGAGGACAGCCGAAAAAGAGCAGATGAAGCAGAAAAACGAGCTGCAGAAGTAACTCAACAATTCACTGCTCAGCAAGAGTTGATTAAGACCTTGCAACAGCAACAAACAGAAATAAGAAGCCTGTATGAGGAGTTAGCTAACCAGCTGAAAGACTTGCGCAAATAAGCAACTTCTGTGTCAGGTATAAATAAATTGTTTGCTCTTCATAGTTATTACAATTGAGGCACTTGAATTCTGGTTCTATAAAATAGAGATTCATTTTTAATACAATTGGGTTGCTTGATGTCAATTTAGTTGCTTGATGGCACTTGAAATCTGGTTCCACCAAATCTGATTCCTGTTTAATGCAATTGAGTTGCTTGAGGCTGATTTAGGTGCTTGAAATCTTGTTCATGTTTAATTACAGCCATTGAGGTGCTGGATGTTGCAACCAAAACTTAGTGTTTTTAAAGCAAATGTGTTTGAACGTTGGGATGTATTCCACTTTTTTCTTTGTCGAAGTCATCTAAATTTTTCTGTATCAGAATTTTTTTTTTGTGCTAAGGAAAAAGAGGCACCTGTGATTGTGTGTGTGTGTGTGTGTTTTTTTTTTCTTGATATACTGTGTGGTTCACGATCATCTAGGCTCTCAATTATTTTCAAGTGGATAGACCAGCTATGATTGTAAACCTGTAAAGCAAGCAGGCTACTAGTCCTGTTGGAGTGTCTAACCTGGATAGTGAACATGTTCTTGTTAATAGAGATTAAGGAGTTTTGATGTGCACATAATATCCAATGTAAACTAGAAAGTTCTCTTAGAATTCTTGAACGTGGTTCAGTTGTACTCCACCACATTGGAGCTTTCTTGAAACAAAAAATATGGCAGATTGGCCTAAATGAATATATGCATTTGCTTAGTTCATCCTTTCTTTTGGTGGCGTTTTTGGTGTTTTGTGTGTTTTTGGGGGGGGGGGGCAATGTAGATTTACATAGTAAAGCAAAGCCTATACTAGATACAAGTAGATCAGCAAAAAGACTTCTGGGACAGGTCCCATTCCAGAGCTAATTTCCAAGGTTACTGTGTTAGTGGAATCTTCCACCAAGCTACTACCACATGTTGTATCTCATCCACAATTAATGGACCTCATAATACTGACAGCTGAAGTTGCCTAAGCTCTGAAGAAAATCTTTCAATAAATAATAAACTTTGCACCCCTAAATCAATTGTCATTCCATTTTTTAAGTGATCCACCCTAAAAAAAAGGTTGGTTTTTTAGCTTCCTGTTTCATCTGTGATCAAGAATAGTTAAAAGTTTGAGGTTCGGACATGCTCTTCATGAAAATGCAGAATAATAATCACAACAATGTTGTTTGATTTATACTTTGGGTAACTTTCGAGATTTTATAGTTGTACAAAGTTTAATAGTGCCTTTATCAAGCTACGCTTTTATTCTTGGTCCACAAGAAAGATTCAATAGAGAAATAGATTAGTTGTATACTTTCGTAGTACGCAATTAACTGTCAATGGTTTGTTCTTGCTTACTATTCAATATATATAATTTCACTTTATTTTTGTGTTAAGCAATTTACTTAGATTGCTATAATTTCAAATTAGAGTGACATTAGTTTTTATAATATGGTGCCTATCTAGAAGTGTAGTTCCAGTTTTAACACCAGTGCTCATTGCTTCAATTTTGGTAACGTGTAGGTTCTAACACGATTCCCAAGAAGAAGAAGCCAGTCATTGCTGTGAAGATGGTTTTCGAATTGAAGACTACAAGGCCTATCGTGCTCATGTTTTGTTCTAGATGGGAATCGTGCTCATATTTTTGTATAGAACTTTACTACTCTCTATTGTGGATGGGAAATCACTAGTATTGTAACTGAATGGCTTATTTTGGATGGTGCATGGTTTATGACTCATTTGAGGCAACATTTATATATATATATATGTATTTGGGTTGATCTTCTATTGGAAATGAATGTTGGTTTTCTTTTCGTATGTTGGCTTTTTTTTCTCCTTGCTACTCAATGAACGTTTTGTGATTGTTGGCAGTTATGTTGCGTAATTAACATTAGCTTATTGCTTTTTACAAAAAATAAATGACAATAAAAAAGTTGTCACTGCCAACAAGTTTTACTAGTGACACTAGAAAGTCGTCACTTTTTATGGATGGAAAACAATGACAACAAAAGTCGTCACTGAACGGAAGCATAATGTGACAACTCCAAGGGTTGACTATGACAAGAATTTAGCCAGCTTAGTGACAATAAAAGTCGTCACACAATGTACAACAATCAGTGACGACAAGAGTCATCACAAAAGCGAAATCGTTTGTGACGACTTTCAAAAGTCGTCACATGGACCCCCTTTTGTGACATAGAACTAGTGACAGCTCTGTGACAGCAGTAAAAGTCGTCACTGACTTTTTTTGTGACGACTTCTGAATTTTTAGTGACGACTTTCGCCTGTCACAGAAACGCAATTTTCTTGTAGTGATTCCATTTCTTTTTTTTGCCATGCCGTAGAATTGAAAAGCTTGTGACAGACATGTCAGCCATATTGTGCAGAAAAGCTGACCAAGGGAATTTTACTATTGATTCAACTGGAAGATTAATCCCTTTACAAAAGAGATGAAGGTATTGTTGGATGGACTCTCGTTCCCAACAGGCTCATCGTGCTGTTTGGAGAGAATGCCAACAAAAGAATCAAATGAGTTGTATTCTTTATGAGGTCAGAATAACATCCATGAAAGCACAAGAATTTTAATCTGCAGTTCACTAAATTACAATGCTGCACTATATCTTAATTGCGATTTCAAAGTTGCATTCATGTCAAATTTTTTTTTTCAGCTTTAAGTGTGACTCCAAACTCTACATGAAAAGCGGGAAATGGGAGGGCTTTAATTGGGTTCTTACGGTCCTCATGTCATACTTATGAGGCCAGAATCACACCTATCATTCTCTGTAATAATTTACATTAAGAGTAAGATATCCAGCTTGAGGAGGGTGTTGAAAAGCAAAGAGAACTTAGATCTAGTTATGGAAAAGAGCCTGGAAATTCTAAATTTCTGAAGTTTACTGTACAAAATTTTATTAGACTCTATTCAGATACATTCAGGCTACGAAACAAAATTAATTGGATTTAACTGATACAACAATCTTAGACACTCAAGAGAATCCAACACTTCTTGACAAAGCTCCTATTGATTGAAGCCTCCCCGCAAGATGTAATTGAGGGCTAATTAATAATTTAGTAATTTATTAATTTAGTAATTAATATATACTACTAGCATTTTAGTAATTTTTAGCCTAATTAACAATTTATTAGCTTAGGGCTCCATCCGTACCTTTCCAAATTTAGCAAAACTTTAAATTAGGAGCTCCAATTGGACCAAACCAGGAATATGTTTCATGACAACAAGAATGAAATTAATTTGAATTTAGGGTCTGTTTGTTTGGGTGGAGAAGGTTTTCCGAAAAACATTTTCCATATTTTCCGTTGTTTGGTTGTTAATTCATTTAGGAAAATAATTTCTGACAGAAAATAAGTTACACCCATGGGCGGAAAATAACTTCCTTATCTATCATTGTGAAGTTATTTTCCGCTGTGTGCTTTATGATGCTTCCAGCTCCATGATGGACAGACTGCCGCTACATTTTTCAAGATACTTCAGGTCCAAGCTACTAAATACATAACTGTTTCCACAGATCCCCTATTTATACTTCCCATCCAATTAAATCAACCTTAGCTACTAGAAATGGGAAGCAAGAAATACATTATCAGGACTCCACCCAAAAGTTCCTAAAAACCCATCAAAACTGGGAACATCAAACTAAAATAAACGCCTCAAGTACCAAGGTCTTTATAGACTTTGCTACTACAGATTCTGTACAAATACTCTCAATTGCATCATTTATACACCATAAAATACAGACTTTCTGCATTTACAGGGTTCAAGTCACCCATTATCCTCCTTGCAGCTAAACTGTATCAACGTTGGCTAAACCCATCAAGCAAATTCAGTTGTCTAGGGAGGTTAGCATTTATTGCAACTCTTACCATGAAGAAATATCTTTATATTCTCCTGTTGAGACACCTACTTTTCTTTTCTTTGTCACAGAAACAGCGGGTAGACTGCTGTCAACGGCAATAGTAGACTCAACCTGCGAATTCCTTGCTTTCAAGTACTTCCCTACACCACCACCCAAACCTTGACTCCCTGAAGTTCCAGTCCCTGGATTGCTGTACCATGAGCCAACCTTATCCTGAAATGCAAAGAAATAAATAAGCCATTTAAATAGTAGAAGTGAGGGAAAAAATACAGACGCAAGACGAACAGTATCAGATCCAGGACTAACATTTTCTTCATCTTCAGCATTGTTCTCATTAGTACTCTTCTTCTCGTCCTCTTCATCAGATTTTCACTTAATAACCAAACATTGGAAAATTATGGGGAAGGAAGTGATTTTCCAGGAAAATGACTTCGATGGAAAATATTTTCAATCCAACCAAACGGACCCTTAGTAGGAAACTTATTTCCTTGCATTACAGCTGCTCGCCATTAGTGCACCCCATACCGATAGCCCACGACAAATCTGCTGCTTTCACGTCCATTATCAATCGAGGTGTAGAATAAAATTAAAAACAATGGCATAGCCATCAACGGCCACCTTGAAACTCGAGGAATTTAATCAATAGAGAAACGGGCAATCAGCATATGCAACGGGTCAACAAAAAGATATTAGGGAAATAGGGACCATCATCCGTTATGAATTATGATCCTCTGACTTCGAGGGAGAGGAAGAGGGAGATAGAATTTTTTTTTGTAAAATTTTCTCATAAAAAAACATGATTACAACCGAAAATCACAAGAGCAAAGGATGGGAATAACAACCCACATATACAATGACAAATAGGCCTGTTAATCGGGTCATATAAGTCGGATTTTCATAAGTTCAGGCTCATCTCATTTAATTTGTGACATTTTTGAGTTTTGGATTAAAAAATATGAAAATCATACTCAACTCACAAAATATTCAAGTTTTGACCTTTATTCGGGTTTAGCCGAAACTCACTTGTTATTTCTCACTTTTCTTAATATAATTACTATAACTATGAAGTTATAAAACTAATTTAATATTCACAGGACCACAATATTAAAACTAATTATGAATAAGTAATAGTTCTTAAAAAGTACATAAATCAGAAATTTTCAACAATATGTATGTTTAATTCGTTTAAAGTACATGAAAAATGGTAATAAAAATGGTAATAAAACATGCAGTCATAAGCCAATATATCTTTAGAGGTTGGAATTTCTTTATAGCCTTGTGATTTGAATCCAAACATGCTTGGTGATTTGTGTTTCTGCTAGAAATTCTAGACAAAAAAGAAAACAACCAATATTATGCAAGTACAAAAATTTACTCAACCAAAAAGAGAAGTTAGAATTTCAGTTATGCATTACCAATAGTAGCTCTCAAGAAAGCTAGTAGAGAAGTTTTTAGATGTATTTTTGTGTGTTTGTAATTTGTATATATTTAGTATTTAGTAATAATATATTTGGGTATATAATTATAAATAATATCAAAATATAAATATTATATATATCATTATATATAAATAAGAGGTAATTAAAGGGCCGGACCTATATCGAATTTGAGTCCAATGAAACTCGAGCTCGGCTCATATTTAATTCGAGGCTAATTTTTAGGCCCAACTTCAAACCTGCTAACTAAATGATCGGGCTCATCAAGCTTTTTCTCGAGCCGAACAAGTCGAGTTCAGACTGACCTGACACTATTGACAATTCTAACAACAAATCTAGTCATCTGTCAAAGTTAGGATAGAATACGAATTCTTGATCTTGGCAGTGAAGAATATATTAAAAGTGACTCCGGGCAAACTGGGCTAACCAAACTGATTCATTTGAGTAGAATATCTAAAGGAATCACTCATTGCCTATAAATTCTTCCTTCACATAGTTGTCTTCCCTGAACGCCTTGTCCACAAATTTCTGCAAACTAAATGTACAAACGCTACACTATGGCTTTGTTTATTTTTTTGCTACTTTCTACTTTCCCTGATTCGATATTCTCGACTGCCACTAATATTGCCATCACATCACCCACCCAAAGTATCACTCTCACATCATTTGAAAAGCTTCCTCTACCCTCCACTGCGACCTCTCCGGAGTCCTTGGCTTTCAATTTACTAGGGGAAGGTCCTTACACTGGCGTCTCCGACGGCCGAATTCTTAAGTATATAAGGCTTACTAAGTCTTTCGTAGACTTTGCCTACACTTCACCAAATAGGTAATTTCTAATTTATTCTTAGGAGCACAAAGTGTATTTCATAATTGTCATATCTCAATTGCACCAATCTATGATGGTCATATGCTCGTGTCATTATTCTTGGTGCTCCGGTGAAATGGCTTTTATTCTTTATTTTTTGTACTCAATTAGTTTAGATTTTACAAAAATCTGATTATTAGAGAAGTCTAACAATTAGAATTAGCAAAAACTACTTTTTGGGTGATTATAAATTTTAATTTTTTAATCATTAAAAAAATGTATAATTAAAATATAAAGGCGACCGAGAACATTACAAAAATTGATAATCCAAAATCAAAATTTATAATCAGTTAAAATACTCAACTGAAAATAAACTCATAGATTGTGGCGAATACCACTACTATAAGACTACTTATAATTAATTGTGAGCTAGCAAATATGACCAGACAAAACAGAATAAAGGTTCATACTTCATGTAGGTTTTGTAAACTACCGGCACCATATTTTCAACCTACACTTTGTGTTTAGGACTCGGGCATTTTGTGATGGGACGACTAGCCTCGACAAGTCTCCGACCTGCGGGCTGCCTCTGGGACTGGATTTCGATTATTTCACCGGCCAACTCTATTGTTGTGATCCATTCGTCGGCCTTACCCGTGTCGGAGCATTTGGAGGGCTGGCTACTACTCTTGTCCCGACTAAGGATGGAGTGCCTTACCGCTTTCTCATTGCCGTAACTAAGACTAGTGATGGACCTGTCTATTTTACAGATGCCAGTGCTGTTTATGGTCCAAAGTAAGTTCATCACTCTTGCATAAAACTTCTAGTACATTTTATGAGCGTGGCTGTTTTTGCATGGACTCAGGCTAATTGATTTCGATTACATTTTCATTACGAAGAGATGCGGATAAATCTATCCAAACTGGAGACTCAACAGCAAGATTGTTGAAGTACGATCCCAGAACCAAAAACGTAACCGTGCTACTCTCACAGCTAGCCGGAGCTGTAGGGTTGGCCACCGACAGTGATGCCTCATTCCTCCTCGTTTCAGAGTTCATTGCGAAGAGAATTCTAAGGTATTGGCTTAAAGGAGAAAAAGCTGGAACTTCTGAAATTTTCTTGACATTTCCAGGAGGCCCAAACAAGATTAAGAGGAATCAAGAAGGAAACTACTGGGTTGCAGTGAATGCTCCGAAAAATGACTCCACCGTTGCACCCCAAGGTGTGAAATTTAGCCCTTCAGGAGAAATTCTAGCCATGGTTGATCTCAGCAAAGAGTACAATAGCCGTATTACAATTGTTATAGAATATAATAACAAAATATATGTTGGAGGTCGGAATTTTCCTTTTGTGGGTCAGTACGATATCAAATATGTCTGAAATTTAACTTCTACTAAGATCAATTTGTATCAAATATGGTTGAAGCACGGATGCCCTTTTAAAACAAGTCTAGTTTGGTTGTCTAGACTCAGTAGCAAATGCTAAGATTTGCTACGGAATAATATACTTATATGCTGATCTTTGAAAGATTAAGCTTGTGCTAATAAAAGGCAGTCGCTTTAGCTTTCTGAAATTACCTCCACGCAATTGATATACTATCCTTGTTTTAGCTTAGAAAAATACACAAACTGTAATAAGTTAGTTGGAACTCAGAGATTCGCAGATGGCCGAATTCTTGCTTTTGGGATTGCTTTCGTAGCTATGTAAATGATGAAACGTCTTAAATTGACTTGTAATAATGTTTTAAGCTTGATGTTGTTACATGAATAAGGCAATGCATCAGCTCTGAATACAAATCATATGCGTTGCTACCTTTGTGTATGTTTCATTCTTAATGATGAGATAAAAGCTTTGAAATAAAACTCATTTTTCACATTACTATCATCTAATATGATAATTATGATCTTGAGCACATTGGCTTTTTGGAATTTTACTCGTTATAAATCAACCATCCTGAATGAATAGAAATAACTTGTCCAATATGTAACATTGGGGAGGCCGGCCACCAACAAGGGAGATGAAACATATCCACCTTGTATGACATGTTAAACGAAGTGTATCTTTCAGGAACAATTTTACAAAATTTTCATTTTCACCCCATGAATGAAATTTTCTGGCTTCATTCCACGCCATAATGACAGATTATGCGTGCCAATTTTATGTGCTGCAAGATTGAAATTGAGAATAACATCCATGAAAGTACAAATTAAATTCGTGAGAAGACAAGAATTTTATTCTGCAAATCACTAATTTACAGCATTGTGAGAGCAAGTCCAAAATCTGCGCGCGCGCGCAGAAACAATGGGCATCAACTGTGAAATTTGATAGGGCATAATATTGGAAAGTTGGACTTAATTGGGTTCGACTTGAATGAGGAGATTTGTAGAAAACCTATTTTTTTAACGAAGGAATGTCAACACCCAAGTGTAAAGAAATTAAACTAAGGCTAGGGATGGCCCTGTTTATTTTACAGACGCCAGTGCTGTTTATGGTCCAAAGTAAGTTCATCACTCTTGTCTTGTATAACAATTCTTCACTTTTGAGTGTGTTTGTTTATCTTGATTTAGCTTAGAGATTGAAGGAGACTGAATAACCGTAGCGTGGCTTAAAGCTATCCAAAGAAGTATCTTGCTATATATAAAGCAGGAGGGACGGATTTGGTGTAAACAAATTGTGTCATTTACTGCCTAATCAACCCTTACTTCTAAAGAAAATTACATTATTTTATCTACTCACCTCCCTACAATCGCTCAATATTTGTTGAATTAACTACTACTTCCTTAACAAAAAATTACCATTTTTTAAAAATACCACAATAATTTAACTATTTTAAATTACTATTTCCAACAAAAAAATTACTAGTAATTTTTAATATATTTTTATTAGTAGCACACACATTGAATGTGCCGTAACCACTAGCAGTAATTACCCTTATGTATTTGATTACCACTCACTACTACTTCCACGGGGACTGCCTCGTTGTGTTGTGGCCCCATAAATCCAAGAAATTTATGCTTCTGCACCTTGCTTGACTCTTCTAAGAATAGCAACAAACTGCCATTAATAGTGCGAGGCATTCATAATTTTCTTACTTTTTGTTATTTTCCTAGGAAACTACGTATGTTTATCTGTATTTGTATAATTTGTTTTGTATTAAAGAAACGTTTCTATAATTTTGTATATTTGTATAGAAGGTTCTGTTAACATTGATGGCAAAAATTGTATAGGAAAATCTTTGCTAGTAATACAAATTTAGGGAGCATTTGATAAAACAGAAATCTGAAATCTGATATTTGAATTCATTATGTTATTGAATTATAAATATTGAAATCCTAACATTTGAGTACATTCTACATTAGGTGATAAGTAAATAGATTATCACTTATTTTTGAAGTAAGTTTTGCCTACATAATTCAAATCCACTTCAGTAATTAAGACGTTCTATTTTTAGTTATCAAACACATCTTAATATGTTAAGATCTTAATTTATTAAATTTAAGTATGGAATTGGGTTATCAAATAGGAAGTGTTTAGAAGGAAAATAATAAATGTTTTTACATACGAGCAATTTGTATTGGATTAATCTATCTACTCCAAAACGTTAACTTTAAAAAAGGGAACTATTTTTATTTAGAATATTTAAGAAAATTATAGCTTTGTATTTTCTTTAGGACTTGACTTCCATTGACATATATATGAAAATTAAACATTTTGATGCTTTTATCTTTCAGTTGTATGCTAAGTACACTTGAAATCCACAAATATAATTCTCTATCATTCGATAAACTAGAGTAAATTGATCCGCTTTTTGTCCTTAATATTCCTCACATATTACTTGAGTTTGTTAATGGCTGATCAATTTGGCCTGAATCTTTGTGAGAAGAAAGTTTTCAACTTCTTGTGACATTTCGATTGGGGCATAAACGAGCTTAATTAAACTGAATACACAAGTGATCAAGCTTATTTGATTATTTTAATGAGTTTGAAATTTTGTTCAAGATTAATTTGTTTATTTATTGAATCGAGTTTGAACGAATTTTTTTTTTATATTTAAGTGTTATCGAATATAAAATATTGTTCAATTTTGACTTGAATAGTTAGCGAAAACTCGAAAGAACTCTTATTAAGCCGAATTCGATTTAAGTATCAAGTGGTTTGGTTAGATTAATTAGAATACCCAAAAGTTTAGAGGCCAAGATCATCCAGCATATGAAAAAAAAAGTATATAAATCAGAGTCCAATCCCATTATTTCAAAAAAAAAAAAAAAAAAATCTTGGGTGGCAGTTGAATCAGATCGTTGAGTCAGCAGCCACTCTGTATAGTAGAATGTTTTGTTTATACATTTTGCTATCAAGAGGGATGTACATGCAGTAATAGACAAGGGAGCTTTTGTAGTAGAACAAATTAATTTAACAAGAAAATTGAATCGAGTTTCCAATTTTCTTTACTATTCTCGGTTAATTCTGCATCCAGCGACTGTGAATCTTCTCCAGTGAGGTGCAGTTTGTACGTGTCAAGAAGTCTATGGAAACATTCACTGATTGCCAGCGAAATTTTCCTTTATAGATTGCGATGCTTATCATACAAATTGCTTATCCCAATATCGTTAATGCTTAATCAAACGTCTAAACACATTATATGTTGATTACAAAAGGACGACCCAAAAGACAACTTGTAGTGGAACCAATTTCAAAGGCAAATGGAACTTAATCACCAGCATATTATATTGGTATGAATTTATAGCTGTCAAATAAACCCATTTAACTAAATTTATCCATATCCGCTAATAAATAGATGAGTATGGGTATTTTAAATTTTTGCATATGGATATAAATGGGTTACCCAATAATACCCATTGGGTAACTCATCAAATCCAATTAACCCATTTAGAATTGTCTTCTCCCAAACCTCCTCTCTTCTTCCCCCACCTTTTTTTTTCAAATTTTTCATTTTGTCATGATGTTAACTACTTTTGTTTCATTATTATTATTATTATTTGTTGGTTTTATCTTATCATTTTATTTTCTCTTAGTTTGTTAACTTGCTCATTTTTCAGCGTTACCAATTTATGACAAGTTTTAACCTCTTTTCTTACTTTTTCAAAATGAAATTTTAAATTTACACACGAAAAAATGCTAGAGGTTCAAATTTTTTGGATTAAGTTTTTATGTTAACTTTTATAATACTTAGTTCAACTTTTTATATTCTTATTGTTTAATTATTAAATAGTATGTAATTTTGCGACATAGAGTACGGATGAAAAAATAATTGATAATTAGGTTTATTGTGCATTATAAGTAAATATTTAAAACTAATGATAGGTGCAAATGATGGTATGAATTAATAACTTAGTTTGCAAAAATGAATTTATAAAAAGTTAAAATAAATGGGTAATTGGGTTACCCAATTCATTTTTTGACTTACGCATTTATACTCATTTAATTAAAATTAAATGGGTATAAATGGGCTCACTTATACCCATTACCCATTTTATCCATCCGAAACACGCCCAAATCACCCATTTTGACACCTCTAGTATGAATTAATACCTTGCAACAATAAGCAGTGTTAATGTCAGAACATACAAGACTAGAAGACAGAAGTGATAACTAGCATCAAGGATACATGGATAGATGGATGAGAAAGAAGACCTAAAGGCCAATAAAAGAAATATTATTGAGCGCCGGAGTTTCATCTTAGTAAATATTCAAAGCAACAACCTATTGTCAGAGCGGTCCTCTATGTAGGGTGGGTGATATTCTTTTAGAGTTCTTTCTTATCCTTTTCTGTTGAACTTCCAGAAGAGGAGTTCTAGGCTGCTACTTGCCTTCCTTTTTGAGTCACAATCTTCCCTCGCACAATTAATGACACTAACAATTCTTTTCGTTTTTTGTCAGGTCTGCTATACATTTTTATCTGCCATCGGATCCCTATATGAAGATTAGATCAAGGACCATACAACGCCCATATGTTGGATTAAATCATGGACGATTCAGGCTGCTAAACTTAACAAGAAATCCACCGAAAATTAGGATGGGACACAAAAAGGAGAATCTTTGGGTTGTCGTGAACAGGTTGTACATCAACAGCCACTCTTTATTCTACCCAGCATTAGGCATAAAATTAAACTCATAAGATCGAGTGAGGCTTCAGAAGGATTTTGAAGGCAGCATAAAAAACGTTAGAATCAAATGTTGGCTCATTATTCCCAATATTTTATGCCAACCGGCCGTATGTTATGTCATCTTTTTCATTCAACATGTAATCTATTGCAAATCATTCTTCGAAGTGCTAGATGTTGATCATAGCCCTGGGAAGGGACACCAGCACAACAAAAGGGAAGATGGAGACAGGATATTATAGCATGTAGAGGATTTGATGGAGCAGTAAGGATTATTCCGTGGCACTTGATTCACAGAGATCTATTTTTTCACAGAAAATTTGAATCCCACTCCACCTGCACTGTTAGTGATCAGTGTGGCAAGCCCACCATTTGGTGCCCTACTTTAAAACAGATCCCAGACAAACAAATAAGGGAAAAAAAAACAAG